AGGGGCAGAGACAAGACCTTAGCTTATACACTCAGCCCCAGACTCAGGTAAAATGTTGTGTTCCTGATAAGGTAGATACATGTGCATGAGGCCATTGGTTCATAAGGAAAATGAGCATTTAAGAGTTGTTGGTAGATCAATGTTACATGGTAAGTTTTTCAGTGCTTAAAACTGGGGGTGGGGAAGAGGGAGAAGAGGGGAATCGGGATGCAACCTATTCCTGTCCACTACTTGTTAATGAAAAAAAATCATGTGATGAGACCACTAAAAAAATTTAGGTTTTTTCATCTCTAATTTGAAAGATTTTATGAAAAAAGTAAAGCATGTTCTCTGATATTCAGAGCCTCTCTAATATATTCACAGATGATATCTGTAGAAAAAAAACCACAAAAGCCTTCAAATAGTGATTTATTTTTTTTTTTTTTATTCCAAGATAGGAAAAAAAAAGACTGAAACAGCATCAACAACAGAAAAAAACTTTGGAAATGTTTAAAATACAGAGTCTTGCCAATGAAATCTGTTCTACTCTCATTTTATACACATGAGCACACATATACATGCATATTCTTGCACTGATTTTAGACACAATCATAGCTGTTGTTGCTCCTAATTCATTGTGAATGGTGAAGTTCTAAAATTCCTCTGAAACATGAAGAGAAAAAAAATCCTTTTTCTTTCATTTTTATTATTTTATTGTGTAAGGACTCCATGTCTTTGCAGTAAGGGGCTATTATAAATATATGTCATAGAGCAGATGTAGAAGTTTTCCAATTTCATTAACAAGTAGCAAGATGTGTGCATATACCTCCCATACAGAATGTCTTAGAAATATACCCTATTATGTCTAGTTAAGTCAACCTTGTGTCATTATTTCATATTAGTATATCTGACAGGATTGGTATACCCAGGAAAGATGCATCAGAAGCATTAAGTGCCAGCCAGGAAAATGAGAAAAGGAATTCTGTGTTTTGAAATCTACATTAAATATGTGTTTTGAAATCTACATTAAATATGTCCTCAAATACTTTGAGAAGGAAAGGTTCTATTGGTTAAAAAAAAACAAAAACAAACCAACAAAAAAAAAATCTGTTAAGGTTTAAGGAAGTGCTTTGAATAAAGCCCTAGTAAAACAGTGGGGACAAAAGGCCAATTTTGGAGTGTATACTTAGTAGAAAAAGACAGGGAAAAGAGAATGAAAAGTCTACTGCATGAAAACTTAAATGCCTTGTTTTTAACATATATTTTTTTAAAAGGACACATTTTATTTTTCACAGGAAAGTTTTTGAAATAGGTCTAGATTTTTCAATTTCTTTCAGGTCTAATATCATTAATATCATTATATACACTATTAATGAAAAGAATTCTGATGTATAAGACTGGACTCATTTCACTAAAGTGTTAAGCACATGTTAAACAAAAGTGGAAAGAAAGCTTGTTTTGGGAAGATCACATAATTTCCACAGAACCCCAGAAATTTAAGGCCACAAGAAAACTCAAAACACCTCCAGCCAAAATCCAGTCAAAATTTGTACTAAAAATATATTAACTGCATCACTTTCTACATGTTTCTTTTTATTGGTGAGCTGACTTTGATTGGACACCTGTTACCCACCAAGATGCTCTATCACTCTTCTCCATAGAAGATTGGGGGTGGGAGAAGATAAGATGGAAAAAATCCTCATGGGTCCATATAAAGGCAGCTTGATAAATTGGAAGCAAAGGAAAAAGAGATTTTTTTCCCTACTTCCCATCAGCAGGCAACGTCCGGCCACCTCTCAGGAAGCAGAGCTTCAGTACATGCACCGGTTGCTCCAGAACACAAATGTCATAATTAATGAATGCCACCCTTTTGTCCTCCTTTTCTTAGCTATTATTGCTGAGCAGGTGCCATATGGTATGAAATATCCTTTTGTTCTGTTTGAGTCAGCTGTTTTGGCTGTGACTCGCCCAACTTGTTGCCCATCCCCAGCCCAGTGGTGAGGAGGAGAATGTTGGAGAAAGAGTGTGAGGATGCCCAGGCAATGTCCATAGACACTGGCGTGGCAACAACACCTTTCCAGCTGCCAGTACAAAGAACAGCACTGTGAGGACTGCCATGGGAAAATGGACTCCATGTCAGCCAAACACAGTACACTTTAGAAAGAAAACAGCCTTCAGACTTAGTCATAAAAGAAAACTCAAAGCAGGATTCCTCAAAGAAGCATACTACAGGGAAAATGAAGGACTCAAAATAGCTTCATGCATAGGCTCATTGATCTTGTAATTTTTATATCTGAACTGTAATTTCATCTCCTTCTAACATTTGATCTGGCTGGTGAAGATGAATCTGTGGCTTAGATCATCTCCAGCACGTGTCATTCCCAAGAATTTTGTTGTGTAGTTCCTGACACCTGTTTAGGAGGTGGCAGTGGCTTAGGAATGGTTTGAGACTCAGAAAGGTTTATGACTATACACATCTTCCATGTGTTGAGGCAACAGATCTGAGAGTCTTCCAATGCCCATTGCTGTGGAGGAAATAATGTTGCTACATGATATAAAGGCAACACTCAATGTCTAAACGTCTTGTGCTGTGAATTCTCACACCTCCACTGTGTTTAACTGAGCAGCCAAAAAGTACTTGTGCTGAGGATCAGGCTCCACATCTTTAGATTGCTGGTTAATAATATCCTATCAAGGAGATATAAGAGGGAATCAGAAAAGCTCATCAAAATGTTCAGTGACATGGCAGCAGATTTATGAGAAAAAAAGATGTCATTAGAAAGAAGGAAGGAAAAAAAAGAAAAGGTCATATTCATTAAGAAGGAAGGAAGACCTAAAGAAAGTACAGGAAATTATAGATCTACCAGCACTTTGGAGTTTTGTTGTTAAGAGAGAGGGAGGATTTCTTAGCACATCTATTAAAATGAGGTACTGCTTCTCTTTATTTTACATTTTCAATCTTTTTATTATCATAGCAATACGTCTTCTACTGCTTCCTTAAGCATTAGCAGCAGATTTATTTAACAAAACTAAGGACTGAGCATCACTGAAAATACTGTTTCCAATGGAATGCTCTCATGCTGTGATTGGTGAAGTGCTAAGTAATTTGCTTTTAATGCTAGCACATACCACTTAGCACTATATTTAAATGAATGATGAAAATCACTCATTTTTCATCCCCTTGCTTAACTGGTGCTCAGTGTAATCTATCTACTGTACTGGTAGCCTAGCGTCAGATATATTCTAATAGACCCTGCTCTCCAATCTACAACAAGCATTTTAATTTTTAATTCATAGTTATGTCTTTATCCTTTAATAGAACAGAACTACAGATGGGGAGTATGTTTTAGATAATAAGAGCACAGTAGGTACCCAGGGAAACTACACCACTAAAAGGATTCTTTATTTACACTTTTCAGTAATGACTACATATATATAGCTACACAGGAGAAAATTGTTGCAAAGGAGCACTGCATAGGCAGGCAATTACTATCCAGCTATAACTGAGCATTATGGATGATGCTGCTGATAAGAGCACTTCAGAAAACAATTTCAAAGCCAATGCCACGCACTGCACGTTGACCAACAAACATGGGAACTCACAAGATGCAAGTAATTAAAATTAATAGGTAGGATGCTACATTAAAATAAAAAAAATAAGGGAAATTTACTTAATATTTAAACATACTTGAAATTTGTGAATTCATATTTTGCGGATATGTAATGTACAGAATTGAACATCCTAGATTAAATGAAAGTCAGTGGAGACATTTCAGTATAATTGGAGGAATAAAAATGATCAGTCAAGTCCTTCAGGCTGAACAAAGTTTCAGTACAAGATCCACATTTTTCAGAAAAATCAACACAGTCCTATAAGAACTGAAGCTATGGTGGTTCCCCACATAAAGTCAGTCCCACCATCAGACTAAATTCTAGTACTATATTACCAACACCAAAGTTAAAATCTCACAGAACAAGACTGGGATATCTTAACTCAGTGGTCAGAAAACCCGGGAATTTCCCAAAGGAATTTTTACCACTATAGTCAGTCATGCTGATGGCAAAAGTGAGTTCAGGAAGATGCACATAGTAAGATGTCACCCACAGCATATTGGTACTGTCACCCAGAAACTGTAATAGGTTACTGGGTGGTTCCTCTTCAGCTAGTTTCTTTTCCAAAGTTATGTAGAAAAGTTTAAAGTGACAACAGGCAAAGCAAACATTAAAATGCAATTTTATTCCTGTTATGACAGAGAGAAGTAATCCAAGTAATATCTTATGCAATAAAAACCACAAAAATCACATCAATTATTGTAGATATTCAGAGGGCTTTTTACACCATTTCTGTCTGGACATAAGTCATAAAATAACCACAGACATATGTACATGCACGCAAATAAACTGGGAAAAAAAAAAAAAGAAAAGAGGGGGAAACCAAACCACTATCTTGCATACCCAAATTAAAATTGTGCTCAAGAGTGACATTTAAACCTTTAAGTTACTACCTAATGTAATTTAATGTTTATTCAGGTGGATGAGAACTATAGCTATTAAGAACTATGCTATTTAGCAACAATGCACAAGATATTGGGTAAGATCTTAAAAAGATAAATGCATCTGAAAAACTTTTACCACAGCAGTGTGAACAAAGGGACACCAGAAAATCAGAAAAAACAGAAAAAAAAATCCCCACCACAGCTAACAGGTACAAGCAAAGCTGAAAAAAACAGAAACAAGCAAACCTGAGAAATTTAGGAATGTCCCACAACTGGGAAGGGAAAAAAAATGTCACATGAGATAATTATGCTTGCAGGATCCAGTATGTGATCTGATCCCATAAGTTCACCCCACTGCACAGCTTGCTGAAGCCACAGAAGAGCTACAAATGGGGCATTCACAGGACAACACTGCATGGGCAGAGATGTGGCCATCAGAAATGTAGGTCCTATCAGACAGTAGCCAATACCATGGATGTGGATCACGATGTAAACAACTCCATGGACCATGTAGTGCTGCAGGAACTAGCTCTCAGAGACAATGCGATTTCCTGAAGATGAGAAAAAAGGATGTAGAGAAAGACATGATGCAAATACACCAACGACAGTCCCCCAATAAAAGGGGTACAGGAGCAAGAGCACATACATTAAATTTACCAGGTTTCCTTAAAAAAATGTGTCTTTTGTGCTCATGTGAATTCTCTAAGGCTTCTCTGTTAGCAAACAAGATTACTGTGAATTTAAAAGTAACACAAGGTGCTTTTAACTGAATTTTACTCCTTAGAGGGCATTGGAAAACTGACAGTGATAGGACTCCAGCTGAGTGCAGAGATCTTGTGGAGCCAGCTACAACGAGCCTTGATAAGCAACAAGAGGAAATTGATATCTCATAATAACAGTGATGCCTAAGGACACCCAGCGTGTTCCATCAAACACCCTGATACTACCTTAGGTAAGGAGCAACTTCACTGCAAACTTGACATAGATGTTCCACTCTGCATGTATTTCTCTAGGCACTGTGAGGGGGCTAGTGGCTCTCAGTACACAGTGGAAAACACAATAAAAGTCTGAGATGTTTGGGCTTTTGCACTTAGACCAAAATGTCTGGACACATACCTAAATATATATACAATAACTGATTGAAGCCTACTCCCAGCATAATTTAAATGCTGGTCCTTGCCTAAGTTAGAACGCTCTGGACTGTGTTACTGTACTGAGATTCTGAGAGGAAAGCGTGACAGTGTTTGATTAAAGGACAGTACTTCAGTCCTCAGGATTCTTGCAACAGCTGATGAAACTACCCAGGGATGAAGACACATTGGAAAACACAACCGTGAAATTTCAGCTGTCACTGACCGCACTCTAACTTTCCCAAAAGAAACTGTTATAAAATTATTTGCTTTCTTTCTATCCCTCCCATCATTTTATGCTTAGGTATCAGGACTGTTTTTCATCTAGGTATTGAGACTGAAAATAATACCTTTCCACCTTGCTGTACTCTTTTTCCTCTCTCTCAGCTTGATACGTGTAGATGTAGGCAACACACTGTTCTTTTCCCTTATATGCTCCTGGTCTGTGCTCACTTTACACAGAAGACTTTCCTCACTAACATCACCAAATGCCTGAAAAACAGAACAGACAAAACCAACATATTATTATAGCAGCATTCAGTGAAATATCAGAGGGAACATAGATGACTTTGATTACCCTTCCCCACCCTCTCTTCTTGCTTTCAAAATACCACAGCTTAGAAGCTTTTGTGTGTGTGAAATTTTATTCTGTCATACTAATAACCCAGCTTTGCAGCAGCTTACAGTTTAGCTTTCATGCTTCAGTTCCACTCCTGGGCTTATAACAATTTTTCTAACAGTTCTGCCAAAATATTCTAAAGTAAAACTTAATGTAAATGTATTCACTAATACAGATAGAGCAGTGAGATTAACAATTTAAACACATGTGAAATGCGAATTCACCTAATTTTTCTCACTCTAAATTCTTTAGTAAAACACTGGAATAGGGATTTTTACGCCCGTTGCTTTTCATAATTCCTTCTTATGATGTTCTTGACACACGGAGAAGATTTGAGTGAATAAAGAATATACACTCAAAGAAGGAAATCATGGCCATGAAGAGGAGATGTTATTGGACTGGAAATTGGTTATGAAAGCAAGGCACTGCATCAGATTCAGCTCAGTTCATTAGTAGTTACCACATCACATGTCAGATCCTCAACTTGTGCCATGTGGGTGGCATTTTGCACAAGAGTGCCCTGACTCCAACTGTTTTCGTGTTTTGGAATGCCCATATACAAGAAATTCTGCTCTGATGAATTTGAGCAGAAATCAAATTTCAGATACTGAGCAGTAACTGAGCTCAGATCTGTCTAGATGCTGTTACACAAATGTTAGCTTGAAAAAGCAGGTTGATCCAGTAATACAGTAATATTTTAAAGAATTTTGCTATTCTCAATCTAGTTTAGCACAGCTATAATAAATTTCCAAATGCAGGTATGTGTAAGGGAAAAATCTCTAATACCTATTGTATTTTTTTGCATATTCCTATTTTCTGTCTGTTGATGCATCTTACAGTTTTGGTTGTACTTCTGGGTTTTATACACTGTGAGGGTAGGAAGTGCTGCTACATCAGGAACAGAGAGAAACAGGCAATGTAGTAAATATTCACCACCTCACATGAAAAGTTGAGACTAAATTTTGGAGTGGTCATGTGCATCCTACATCCTAGACAAGTTTCTCTGTACCAGGCTACTCTTTCTTCTCACCTACATACCACTAACACAGAACAGATGCTACTTTCTTTTTAGTTTTATTCTTTCAAACTAAGAGATAGTCTAGTTTTAGTTGGGTTGTCCAAAGACATTTCTCTCATGGCACAAACAATTACCAGGGTGGGTCAAAAAGAGATACCATGTCATAGTAGGACTTCATAGAAACATTTTTGCATTATATAAAGTTAAGAAGACAGAAGACATAAAGGGGACCTACAGCATCAGTGAGCTAACAGAAATATTTTTTCAGTTGCAATAATCTGAGAAAAATATGTGGAAATATCATCAGTGTATACCTGGAGTTGCAACCCTCATTCCCCAGAAGCTGGAACACTAATTTCATTTTATAGAATCATTTAGGTAGATTTGGAAAAGACCTTTAAGATTACTGAGTACAGCCATAAGCCTAATACTGCCAAGTCCACCACTACACCACGTTCTTGAGTGCCACATCCACAGGTCTTTTAAATGCCTTCAGGGATGGCGACTCACCCTCTTTTCTGGGCAGCCTTTTACAATGCTTGAAAAGTCTTTCAGGCTGTCAAGAAAATTTTCCTAATATCTAATTGATTTCTTCTTGTCCTGTTGCTTGTTACCTGGCTACAACCTCCTTTCAAGCAGTTGTACAATGATAAGATCACCCCTTTTGTCCTATTCTCCAGGCTACACAACCCCAGCTCCCTCCTCTGCTCTCCATAAGACTTGTTTCTATGCAAAAAAAGAGAAGATACAGGGGATATTTAGAGTTCACTGGAAAAGCCTTTCCTTTGGTGCAAGAGCTCTTCCAACCTGATCATTCACATACCCAGCATGACTGAAGCGACAGGAACCCTTTGCTTCAATTAAGGTGCTATCATTTACTTGTGTATTGAATTTAAATTGAAGCTTGTAAAGATATGTCAGATTTTTAAACTTGATCAGATGTTGTGCAGAGTTATGTTCTTTAATTAAAGTCCAAGTTGTTGTTTCTGAGAGTGACTTAATAACAGTAACTTTATGGTTAATCAACCATGTAGCAAAGTTCACCATGCACTTATTGCAGTGTAATTATAAAGTGAGCAAAAATATAATTGATGCATTTTGTCAATCTGTGTAGCTGCAAGGTACTTTTTCAAAGGTTATTTTTTTATTCAGATAAAGTAAGTAATGCTGTTCTGGCAATTATCCTTTGACTTCAGAGATTTTACTGCTGATTCAAGTAAAACTGTGATAGATGAATAAAGATTATAAGTGTTTGAAAGTACAAAATACCTTCTGTAACCATCAGTGGCTCTGCCCTTTCAGTATAAAATCATTCTGAAAATCACTGAAAATACAGCAAATCTTGGTGTTTAAGGTGGGTTGAAACTGAAAGATGTATCTCTTAATATAAAATAGCTCTTTTAAAATACCCCTTAATTATCATCTCTGCTGTTTGTTATATAACACAAGTAGAGAGCTGTGGCAGTATTTTTCCCTTGAGCACTGGCTCAGACTGAATGGGTATGCTTGAACTTGCTTCCATTCCTTCTGCAAACAACTGAAGGAAAGAGTTCTAACTCCTCAGGACCCCAAGAAAAAAAGAAATTAAAATTTCCATGAACATAATATATTTGTGTATGTGTTGATTCGGGATGTAACCCCTGCTTCTCACCCCACATTCTCTGCAAGTGAAAAAGAAGCCAGTATGATTTAAATTTGAACATTCATATACAGAACAAAGCTATAATGCTTAGTTATGGTATTTCAGTAATTTTTTGGTTATCTGAAATCCAGTGAGTCCTGCTGAAAATGTTCATCAGTGGACCTGTCTCATTCCTTTCCTGGTCCTCTTATCAGAGCACAGACAGCACCATAGATAAGAAGGCCATGGCCACTTGAAGGAAAGAAATCTTCTTCCACATGACTCTGTGACTTTCTGGGGTACAGGGTATATAAAATCTGAGAACACTAGGGAGGATAGAAATGGCCACATGCCGCAAGGCTGCTGCCTGCATTTCTGTTCTGCAAAATAGTCTTGACTGCAGATGATAATAGATTCACAATTAATAGATATAGCTTCCATTTAAAACTATATCACAATTTACTGAAAAAGAAGCAAGGAACCAATCTTGTACCTGACAAAACAGCCTGGAACAGAAGATATGGAGAAATGACTTCTGCTCAGCTGAGACACACTGTGCTCAACCACTTCATCTGCAGCAGAGGGATTGGCTTACCCACTGCAAGGGCAAGGAGCAACAGACTGGGTCCACTTCAGGACAGGGTTTACATGTCACATGTGAGATGAGGTGCATCAATTTAAGAATAAAGCATACAAACACAAGATTTCTCCAGGAAATCTCTTTTCCTTGTCCTCATCTTTTCAGTGGGATGGAAAGTGCTGCCCGGACAACTAATTTCTTTCTTAGGCTGATTATCTCTAATTGAATTATAAATTAAAGGAGAAATATATACTGGAAACAATCACTTAAAACAGTCTGGTTTACTTCTTATTTGAAGTGAAATTTGCCATACTGCCATGACCCTCAACAAGAGGGCTGTAAGTCTGCAGGCTGTACTGATCCGATTGCCTATGTCCATGGGAGTATCCCTTAGCTGAGTAAAGTGTTTGATTCCCAACTGAACCTCGATGCATGTTGAGAGAGATCATTCTCCCACTGAATGCAGTTGCAAGGTATATTATGTTTTCAATGGGACAAGTTTAAGTCTCAGAAGTAGGCAAGCAGCATGTGGTAAAGCCTGTTCAGCCCACCAGTATGTACATAACTGCATGCATTAATCACTCTTCTGTGGGACAAACCTTTCCTGTTAATCCCTGATTTTATAGGGATTCCCAGGAAATCAACTCATGGTTGGTTTGAGCTGGCCATGTTTGTGGATGACCTGACATGATGCTGCTGAAGCCAGCCAAAGTGGGTCAGTTTACACCTGTGGCCAGGCTCTCCCCTGGCCGAAACGTCCTCACCCCCTCCCCACAGCTGACCCAGTGTACAGAAAAGCCAGATCTGTGCTGTCCCCTCCCAGTGTCTGGTGAGATGAAGTCATGAGGTAGGGTGCCAACCTCAGATACTGAGCTGGAGCGATCCTCTCTCTTTCTCTCCTCCATAAATCTTTAGTGACCATTTTTCTCCATGAAAACAGCACGTGGGAATCTTGCAGTAAACATGGCAAATTTGCTCCTTTAATCAAATTAGGGCCAGGAAAATCTGCACTCACATCCATGCATAAATTGCACTGGAGTCAACTGCATGGTTTATGCACACACAGGAAAAAATAGAGCCCAATATTCATAGTAACACTGGGTATAAAAAAAAAAAAGAGTTTGTGGAATTAAGAATAAAACATGAGGCAATTTGTTGATTTGCCCAGGGAATATAGGAGAGCAACAAATGTGTAGATTATTCTAAGGTTGTTTTTTAGTGTCATTATCAGATCCAAGAACTGTATATAAAAGCATGCGGTCCTTCACATGCTAAAAGTATAGTTTGCTCAAACAATTGTAAAATATTCAGTATTCTTAAGATTAAATATCTGAATATTGCTTCTGAAGGAACAGCTGTCAGCTTAAATCTAAAGTCTAGTTTGTTTACTGCCTGTATTTTATATCTGTTAGAAAATGACACCAAATGGCAATAAAATTGTTGTAAGTATTCTACTGGGGACTATAAATGCCCTTTGGTTACAGTGTACATATCTTTATACATAATTCCAGTATATTTTCCCTAGAATTATGTTAAATATGTAAAAAGCCTTTTCTCATAAAGGTAAAAATGCTACATGTTTCCAAGCTGTAATTTAGCATTAGTGTCAAGATTGCTTCAGAAAATAAGCTACTGTTACTGTTTCATTCTTTTTAAGTGTCACTCAGCATACCATATCTGATCTTGTATTCAAAATAAACTTATATGATTTTATTCACATTTCCAGAAGTGCAGGAGGGTTTAGACATAATTTATAGCATATGGATTGATGTAAATAGCTTAAACTAAGTAATTGGCTAGTCACCTACGCTGTCTTGTTCTATTACTGCCAGGTACTTTTTAAGTAATTAGGGAAAACAGACCTCTTTTATCCAGTAAGTTTAAATTGGATGAATCCTTGACATTTGTGAAGGCTTATTTGATAGATAAAATCATACTATACAAAAACTTTCTCTACAATACTGAGGTTTACTAGGCCTATAATAAGAAACTGATTTTTTGTTGAGTTAAAGTGACTTATCTTTGCCCTTTTAATAGGAAATCAACTCCAGTCAGCAAAAGTCGAGATAAAAATCACTAAGTTGGTGTTATCACCATGTAGACAGCAAACATGTACCACTGTCATTAACTTTTCTGAGCATGGATTTCAAATACGTTTAAAATGTTAAAATTCAATAATTTCCTTTATATTACAATAACACCAGATTAATGAATACCAAAAAGCAGGAAAAGTGATTTACTTTGGGAAGGTCATTCCTTGGTTAGCCAACACCTAAATTGAATTACTATAAAGGGGAAATATATTATAGGTAAAAAGGAAAATGGTTTTTACTGCACTTGAATTCTTTGAGTTTTACAATGCTTATGATAAAAAGATTGCACCTACAAGTTTAACCTCTATAATTTTTACATTGTACATTTTAAAAAAAGAATCTTTTTATTTAATATTTCTAGGGCTATTTATACATGTCACCTTGTACTTAATGTTTCTTTTAAAACAATTAGTTTTACCTCATCCCTGTAAAACCTATAAAATTACTTTTCATACCAGACATGAAATTTAAAGTCATACCAGGAAATCTGGACCTCTAATGGGGATACCACACATAAAGAAATAAGTATTTTATAGTAGCTTTTACTTAGAAGACATTTATTCCTAGCTAGTGTACTTCGGTACACAGAACTTACAAACTGCTTTGCTTACTGGGAGAAAAAAAAATAAAATAAAAGAAAGGTAATTATTATCAAAGTGAGTTTTGGCTCCTTGGATAAAATTACGTTCACATTGAAGTGATTTGATGAATTAGGGCTATGAGTAAATCTTTCTTTCACTGAAATATAAAAGAGCAAGATGAGGCTGTAAATATGAAGTGAATTCCTTATGAGCATCCAAGGACTTCACAGCAAGATTATGCAAAATTCCTCTTATGCCTGTCAAAGAATATCTTTGAATTGCAGATACAGAAACATCTGAAGTTAAAGTCACCAAGAGCTGAACACATGAATCTGAGGTAGAATTTGGCCTGGTGATTTCAGTGCTGTTTTCATGTTCCTGTGTTTGGCAAAACAGTGCCCCAGATGTGGCCAGCTTGCACACACTCCTCAGTTAGCTGAATGCTAAGAATCTACTGCTTATGCTGGGGCTGCCCTCTGAACAATGCCTATATTTACACATGCTTTTTCAAAGTTATTATAATTCCTCTGTTGTTTTCTGCCAAAATGCTCATTTCTTCCTATTAAACATATTATTTTTGAAGAGCACCCACCAAAACCAACACCCATCATGCTGTAAATGGCACAAAGTATTAAAAATCTGATGGACAGATCTTAGTCCCCAAATGACTGAATTCATGAGGTTCCACTGTAGCATTTAGGAATAAGTGTTATGGAAAGTCAGTCTTGTAATTTTGCTATCTTCAGAGTTACATGTCTTCAGAGTTTCTTAATAAAAGTGAACAAACAAAAATATACACTGAAATAATTACATTTTCACCTTTGGTATGTTACTGTAATGAAAAGGAGGATTGTTTCACAGGAAGAAGGTGCATGTAACCCCTAGTTCCTAGACGTTGTTGAATTACTCCTTGCATTTTGCAGTTGTACAAGAGCACTAGCCCATCCAGAATAACAAAATAAGTGAAAATTGATTGTTTTCTTACTCTGTGTACTCTGCAGACCAGGTAGAAGTGCCTACAAAGGTAGGACATGTCACAATTGCCACAGACCACCCCTGTTCTTACAGGTTGTGTTCCTACAGTCCCAAAACAATGCTCCATACAAATATCTTGTCTCTGGTGAGGAGAAAGAGGTTTGCTGATCACAAAGAAAGAAGACAGGCAGCTGTAATTTCTATGACAGGGAGAGAGAATAGATAACTCTCTGCCCGCCCCAATGTGGAAGAAAAGTCTTCCCTCCTTCCCCACTGCTGGAAAGGTGAGGAGAGGAATGAAAAGCAAAATGAGAACTCATCTTGTTTCTGTTGGTGAGGTGTTATACCCATTCTAGAATAAAATGGTTAAGATTATGAAATTATATTATGTAGGAAAACTTCTGTTAAAGATAAATCTTACTTATACCAATGGGTAATCCAATGGAAGCTGATTAAATTTAGAATAAGAGGAGATTTTTGAACAAATAGACTATAAGGATCCAGAAAAATCTTTCCTTTGAGTCACCAGGATCAAAATACCTAAAACAGACTAGGATTAGGTAAACTAAATAACCTGAGTCTTTAGAATTAGCTCTAGACAGTCGAACTGAAAATGCTTATACACAGCAAGTTGTCAACAGAGGGAGCAAACTGAAAAGAGAATTCCAAGAACTTGCCCAGGTGCCTTTCATCTCCTACACTCTTAAAAACTATGTATAACATTGCAATGCACCCTTCAGCTCCAAAACACTTTTCTAACCCCACTCAAGTACCCCTGCTTGTCTAGCTGCAGCAAAGGGGAAAAAAGAAATGTTCCTGAGGGGTGACAAAAGCAGCAAGAGGTAAAGCTCAGGTGTATTTTTCCTCATGGCAGCAAACTTCTCACTTTTCATTGTATAGTTTTAAAATTCATTAAATAAACCTAATTTGGAACTGAAGTAGAAAGCCCTGACCTATAAAACACACAAATGTATAATTACATCTGTTATCAGCTAAATGTAAGATCTGTATACGGGCCTTACTGCAATTATTAGTTAAGCACATTTCTTACATGTAATTGCATTTAGATCTACAAGTAAAAATGCCGTAAAGCATTTGATCTCCTAAATTAGATGTGCAGCTTTCAAGACAATGAGGCAGGACTCAGTCATGGATTTTAGGAGTAGGCTATGTTATGATCTGGAGTGGGAAACTATAGAGAAGTAGCTTGAGCCATCCTTACTATACACTTTGTGGATGCTGGAAGCTTCTCAAAAGCTCACCTGGGAAGACAAAACTACATTGTATGAGAACATATTTCTTCTCTCTCAGAAGTACAGAACAGATTAATGAGCTGAAACTGCACTGGGTTAAGATTGCCTTGGGTGTTCAAAGATCCTCCTTCCAATGTCTGGTAGAATCTGAATGAAACCTCACCACTGAAAAGCTGAAAAGAACTTAAGTGGGAAAAACCATTCTGCAAAAACCTACATTTGTAACAGGCAGAAAGTAGGAGCTGGGCTGCCTGATTGACATCCAACATGGAAAAGGTGTTTTAGCAAAAGTCTAGGCAATTATTCACATGAGGAGTTTCTTCACCAGACTTGGGCATGAACCTGGATTTGCCAGTTTCTTTGTTCCAGTAATTAGGTTCTACTTCATGTAGGCCACATGCCTTCTCTTGTTTTCTTTGGCCAGCTTGAAGACTCCAGTGTCTTCACTCTGGTGAATCACAAGTTCCCCAGGCAGAAAATTATGTTTGAAATCCTTGAGGACAGTTTCCTTTAAATTAAATTTTCTTTAAAAAGCCAAGTAGGGCAAAGACATTACGAATAAAATCTTTAATGAAGAAAACAGCCTTGAAATATTAACCAAAGGAGCAGAAGCAATGTTTGTCTCATGCTGGAAAGCTGTACTTGAACCTTCACCTTAGAAGTGTGCAGGTGAAAACATTGTGTTTCATCATCATTTGTCGCAGTTTTGGTAAAAAGATCTCCCTTTTGAAGCTCCCACTTCTTCTCTGGGTTGAGAAAGTAATATTCTTTGACTCTACTTTCTCTTAAATGCCAATCTTTTTTTAAGAGTCTCTCAACACAAGACCAAAGGCAAAAAGGAAATGTTCTTCTTCAAAGCACTTAGAACAAAAATGGCAAAGCAATGAACAAAATGCAGCCCACGAAACAAGTAACGGGTGATACGTCTCTTTAATAACATCCTGTATTGCATTTTAGAGCACAAGCTGCTGAAATGCTGACAACACCCAAGATTCAGTCTAAAACATGCAAGATGCCATTAAGTGATCTAACCGTGCCTTAGCTCTGCATATCTGAGTACAAATGAAGTGAATGACCATACTTGTAGTAATAGCTGTCCATTAAATGTGCACAGTACTTACCGTGTATATTTATATATGTATATATAATAATTCCTGTACGGAACGACCTTATGTGGTTCTAAAGTGATATATATTTATAAATAAACTCTATGAGGGTAGTTTCAATGTATATCTTACATAATTGCCTTCAAATGGCTCTATAAACAATCCGAAATTACTACTTTGCACTGCAAAAGCGTTAACTCATTGATCATACACTACTGTTTAGGAGTGAGGTCTTCCTATGGAAGCTCACAGTGCGTATTTCGGACCGGGTCAGGCACGGCCTATTTTCCTCTTTTGACTGTGACCTGGTTCCGAAATGCACCCCTTTGCCTTCAAAATCTGTCAGCGAGGCGCCTGCTCGGACTTACCTCAATGATAGCCCCATCAGGCAGCCTGAGGAAGTGCCTGTAGAGCTCCTGGAAGCCGCTGAGGTGAACCGTGTAGACACAGATGTGAGCAGTGGTGCTGCCTTCCCAGCTGGCTGCAGCGTCGGGGATGTCATCCTGGCGCTGGAGGTCACAGCTGGAGACACCAGGCTGGTCCTTCCAGATGTAATCAGACACTGCCACCTAGTGAAACACAGCCCCCCCCGCCCCCCGGACACACACACACACAGAGGCCCCCCGCCCCCCCCACCAGAGGAACATATTTAATTAACTTCTGGCAAGAGCTTAACCGATTTAAAATGATTTTACAATAAATCTGCAAAGCCTCTACCATATGCAGTGCTTGCACACAGTTCTCTACTACATATTTTTTTATGACATAGATCTAAATAGAGGAGATAGACAAATCCCTAGTGTATATTCTATAAAGTTAATTCTGCACAGATGAAGCTGTAATTGACTCCCGTATTAACCAAAAGTAGGGAGATCAAGCAGGGTAGGTTAAACAATAAAATGGCAATGCTGATTAAAAAAAAAGCTTCCCAAGAATTTTGTGAGCGAGTATTTGTATTTCTCTCTCTTTGAGAAGCCTTTGCTCCTGTACCCACAAGCACTTTTTAGTCTCTGATCTCTGTATAATATTAAAATAACCTTGTGCTGTTAACTGAATTGTAGATGCGGCAGAGTAAATTAGGTGTATTTTAGGGCATGGTGTAAAGCTAGTTTATTAACAGTTACCTAGCTTCCTAGTTTGCTCTGAACATGTTTGCTTTGGTAGGTTTTGTATCCCCCTACATCAGTCAGAATTTCCATTTAGCCTTTTTCATGTTAATTCCTTACACAGGCTGGGCAGAATTCAATACTTCAGATGGATCATAGCACAAGGCTTAAATGCTCTTTTTCCTTAACTAGAAAGATGATGAGAAGCATTATTTTTATACTGCCCCTGAAGTGCAAGCATGAGCTTTTTAACCCTCCACTTTTGCAAGACCTTTTCGTCACTCATTTTCTCCCACGAGATGCTACTCCTGTTTGTGGAAGGAAGGGACTGGTGTTATTTGTACATCCTTACAATACATCAGCATGCTCTTCCCAAACACTTCTATTTAATGTAGACAAAATACCACTTTTGCTGGCCTAGCATGTGCTTTTTCTTTCAAGAATGTGTATTACACTGGCAGAAATTATTGGAACTTACTGACAAAGCTAGCTAAAGAAAAGCTTTAATTCATTTAAGATAAGTGCATGAAAACCTTCTTCTGCATAGTTCTACTTTTAGCTGAAATGAAGAGCTCAGATTCTTACAAGATGTCTCAAAAAACAGATACAAATTTTTCACCTCACTTGGGAAAAATTAGATTTAACTGTTTGCTTGTGTTCCGGTTCACATTTCCTCAGCTGTTCTTATGCATTACAAGGAATCCCATAACCAGTACAGTGTGCCAATGCCACAATCATGATGTGCATGCTGCTATTATGAGCCACTGCCTTAGGAGAGGATTTGTTTTAGGTGAATTAAGAAAGCAAGATCACATACAGAAAATTATCTCTAACTATTTTCCAGGAATGACAGAACAATGGGATACTTCATTTTAGCACTAGCTTCCATTTACATCAGCCCTAATAATTTTTTTTTTTTACATTTTAAAACAAGGAAAGGTCATCTGAAATTAAAGTAAAATAAGGACAGAATTTTCCACACCAAAGTCTCTGGGGTTCAAAGGCTTTCATTCAGGAAAACATGTTAGGAACATACAGCAGCCGTAAGGACAGGACAAGCCCTGCATTTTCTCCTGTTTACCACACAATTTGGTGTTTTACACACATTTTACATGCCTGCATGACACAGTGCTCCATATGAATTAATGTGGTCCCTGGTCTCAAGAAAGCAGGAAGGCAGCTTCCATCGGTACAGTGCTGGCTTGAGCACAAACAGCTGCAAGAGCTGCCACACCACAGCCCCTGCAATAGTTACTTTCCTCTCTCATCCAGTGTCTCACTACCAGAATTTCTAACCTGTCCAATTCAAGAGCACCAAGGCTTTCCTGGCCTTGTGTCTCCTTCCTGATCTACAGCTTCAGGAAAGATAAATGGTTGAGAGGCCCAGCTCAGAAACTCTCTCTTCAGGAAACACAACAAACAGGATGATCTCTGTCACGATCCTCCTTTTACGCTAGATGCATTTTTACCTGCACTGCTAGCTTCCTTTATTCCAAGTGTTTTCTTCCCTCCTGAATCAGTCCCTCACTTTCCTCTGCTTCTCGTCTGACCTTTATCTTGCCTCACTTTCCCTGAATCTGCTAGTTCTTCTCGTGTTCATCCTTATCAACCAGCAAAGGGCTTATTTACTGTGTGTTTTGCAAGCCATGGATATGAACACCACATCCTTCTCTGCAGCTCTCTTTTGCCCATTTGAGCTGTGAGCTCTGGGGACAAAAATATGCATGCTGTACTCGCTCAGCACAGGGGAGAGCATGGACCTTCCACTACTTTCACACAAATAAATTACCACCTATTTTTTCAATCAGTGCCAGATCTGAGTGTAATTTTACAAATACAATTCCTGTGTGGAAGCCAAAGCCGTGGCTCACCAAAGCCACTCAAACCTTTGTGCCTGAGCAAACCTGCACTTTGCCAGGACAAAGACCTTCTTTGGAAGTTCTTGACTCTGGGTGCCATTCCCAGGACACCACATCCATGTGGGACCAGGTATGGCATCAGAAGTCTCTGTCTTCCTCCCCAAGCACAGATGGCTCTGCAGGATAATGGGAGTACACAGATGCATCTGATCTGTTGTCACATTTCAGATCTGGTGAACTGCCTCTGAGGACACTGATGTGACTAGCCAAGAGAACATGAGAACATGATGATATTGTTCTGCATGTCCACCTCCCTTCCCCATTACACACTCCCCCACATAAAAAAAATAAATAAATAAATAAATAAATAAATTAAAAATAGCACCAATTGATCATCTGACAACTGAAAGAGAAAAGGCACCATGAAAACTGATGGTGTTGTGGTGAGTTGCATAGCCTTGGTCTGGGGCAGACACTAGAAAGGAAGGAAAGAGGACTCTTTGCTGGAACATCACTCATTAACTCCTCCCCAAAGTCACCTGGTAGTGTGAGTTTGCCTGAAGGCAGACTCTTCAATTTGTGGAGGGATATAACATTTGAATACCACTTCCAGAAAGGGGGAGCAGCTCTGTCTGTGGCTGTGGATTTAGAGACTCCAGTGCAGAGGGACCTTTCCATTCCCTCCTTGCTAGCACCATCTGAAACTATTTGGCAGACAGATGTCCACTGCCTTGAAACTCTCAAAACACATTTCTGTGAAGTGATAGGTCACTAGAGAGCTGCTGTGGCCTACATAACCTGAAGTAAGCTCCAAAAGTAAACTCTACTGTCATCTGAAATTTCTATCATTAAGTTAATCAAAAACGTCCATTCATTTCTACAGGAATACAATATGAGTTAATAAATCCACTGAGACAGGCTAGTCAAGAGACTGTGCATATAGGACATGTCAGAGAAACTGAAGTTAGCAATGATCTAGATTCACAAGGGCTGACAAGAAACCACAAAATGCCAGAGCAGTGTACAGTAATCCTTAAATGAAATTCATCTTTCAGCAGAAAAACACATTAAGGATGGTAATTCAATGATAAAAGAGGCAGGCCAGAACAGGTTCAAATGCTGAATATTTCACAACATAACTTAATTAAAGCGGGACTGTGAGGCTGTTAATCGCTTTATAATAGTTCAGCTTGAAATGAGGTCTGATGTGAGTGCCCTTATGGTTTATTTGTTTATATTATTATAATCATAAAATGTTACGTTGACCTAATGTAAATGTACAGTTTTCACTGGCCTTTATTATGTTGGCAGGTTTTTTTCTCCTTGTGGTCCTCCTATTTTTGTACAAGTACAAGAAGGGAAGAGCTGGGAGGAAGGGTCATGAATTTAGGTCAGATCAGATGATTCAGTAAGTCTCATGTGGGTTTAAGTCTTATTAATAATTTTAATACATTCTTCCTTGACAACAATGATTTCAATCACTGCTTCTTTAACGTGCACGGTGACGTAAAAATACACAGGTTTTTAAAAGAGTGGAACATGTTTCTCCTACAAAAAAGGTAAATTATGTCAACCCTTTGGAAATTACAGTGCATGACCTAGAAAAAAGACAAAAATACATTTGTAAGTAAAAATACAAATGTATTTTGTTGTAAATAATATGTAAATAAATGTATTATGCCACACCAAGTGTAGAAAAATATGTATTGAGGTAGAATACATTTTAAACACAAATATATTGATAAATGTATATTTACAAATACATTACACAACTGAGACACAGCCAATTAATATTATAATTCCTAGGTCAGGGTACAGAAAATACCAAGCTAGAGTGTAAAGGAACTACAATGTTTTCTATTGTTTGACAGCTTTTGTGAAAGAAGAAAGGAAAGAATATTTCCTCAGATTTTCTGAGCTATAGTGGGAATGTGAGGAAGACTGACTTCTAGTGTCTTAACAAAAAGACATCAGCAAGAAAAAAGTTCTTTTTAAAAAGTTGAGAAATATACATGTGTGTCCAAACACTTGATTATGATTGGTACTGATTCTTAACTGTTTGCAGCAGCATTATTATTAGCAATCTCATGTGAATAAATTCTAGGCTCATGCATTGCAAAATGTATAAAAAAACCTGTTTGAAAACAGCATTCAAAGAAAATGCGTAAAATGAGTAAAATGGAACAAATTGACCAGTTGAGAACATGTGGAACTGAATGCTGGTCATGACAAATAATTAGCAAAAGTTACAAGCTGTTAATTTTAGTCAAAAGGGCAAAAAAGTGTTTAAAAGTTAGGGAAAAAAAAGACATCAAAAGTGGAGGGTGCTGTATTTACTTCAAGTAACTTTCATAAACATGGTAAGTGCATTTTCTGTGGTAAGAGTTGTAAATATGGGAATTACTGTCCTGGAGGCAATCTCTGTTAAAGCAGTGTAGCTTTACAATTAAAAAAACAAAAGCTGGCTAGTGCTAACCTCTGAGGGAAGCACAGCACCCCTTAAGCATTACAAACCCCATTTCTGACAAACTGTGGCTAAAAACCTTGCCAGCAACTCTGGTAAAAGGAGAATTTACA